ATATTCCCGATAATACTTGCGAACATAAACAGCTGGACGAATCCTACGTTGTCTAGGCGTGTTTTGTGTGGGTTTGTGTCTGATTTAATTGATGTCTGTATTGCGGGTTGATGCAATCTTTGACTCAATTCGTCTTTCATTTTTCTTCGGGGTGAGTAACACACTTATGAATAGGGTTTACTTAATTACATATGCGCTCACATAAAAAAAATGGTACGAACGAAACAGAAATAGTAAACACAAGACTCAATCCTTATTCTCATCGATGGCTTCCTCCTCTTCCAGTACTTGCCAGCTGGAGCAGGTACTTTGCGGCCGTTGAGCGGTTGATGAGTGGGTGGCATTGCTGCAAGCGCTTGGTGGTCGTGGTATTGTAGAGGAAGGGCTTTCGTTGAGTTGGTCCCAGAGCAACTGATGCTCTTGGAAAATCTCATGTTTGGGCATGAGGAGCCATACCTGTTCGATGGTGCAGATACAGGTCTCGCGACCTACCCGTCTAGAGGAGCGGGGCGTCTTCGTACTTCGGTTCGGCTTTTGCCGTGTGACGCAAGTGCATCATGATTGTGGTCCGCGGAACACACTTGCGGCACCAGCAATAGGTCTGCCAGGCGCGGTTGTTTAGGACGCGAACACTCCTGAAGTCCTTGATGACTTTTCCAGTCGCGCCGTCAAACGCCTCTTGGGCTTCCTCCACCGCAGCGTATATATAGGCGGTGATTCTGTAATCCGATATTTTGTCTAGTTTGTCCCCTTCCAGCAGCTCTATGATGGTTGAGAGCCGCAGGATATAGGACCAGGGCTGCCATTTGAATAGGGAGGCGGGCATCCGCCCTAGGTATTGGTAGTATTCATCAGAGTGCTGTAGTTTGCGTGAGTTGTTTCCAACCATCATGAGATGGTTGATTTTGCTAACGATGGCTGACATTTTATGTAATGTAATAATGGTTGACCCCTGTTTGAGATTACTTATGAGTGACTTTGAATCAGTAACGACAGTGTTGGACCTTTTTATATGGGCATTCTTCCCTACCTACAGCAACATCTTTCTTTAACTAAAGGTTTATTAACAAGAAAGGATATTATAGGGCAGCACAAAGGGTGCAGGACAGAGTACATCAAGAAAGAGCTCGGATGTGAAATGGAGTTTAAACTACATCAATAGAGATCCAAGAATATAGGGAAACTTGAAAAGTACAGAGAGCATATGTAGCAAGAAGGAGGGTAATGAAGAAATGGGATACAAATAAAGTAAAGATAAAAATGAGTTTATGATTATCTGTCGCTGAGCCGGCCGGAGCCGGCTAGCTCGGTGTCTCTCTCTCTTTGAGGGCGGGGCGTAGTTGCTTATATAGTTGGCGAGGGGCGGGGCAAGAGTGCAGGGACCAATAGCGCATTACCATATTTAGCGCTTTTCCTAGTCACACGAACCCCAGTACTACTATTGCTTAAAACACGACTATCGCGGACCTACTCAGCGACGCTGTTTTCACCCAATTCCGGCACCTCTATGCCTTCTCTGCAGCCAAAGTACTCATCTTACGCGGTACTGTCAATCACCCATGCCCTTCCATAAAAGAGCCCGCATACTCCTTTAAAGATACAGGCTCTGTCCTCGCTGCCTCGAGAGCCATCCCCTAAAAGAATGCACAGAGAACCCAGTGTGCTTCCGTTGTGACGCCACTGGCCACGTTCCGCCATTTGTCAACATGCCCCTGTTCACATTCTTTTAGTCCCGGGGACCGGGACTTTCCGTAAGAAAATCATGTAGGAAAAGCGCTAAATAGGGTAATGCGCTATTGGTCCTTGCACTCTTGCCCCGCCCCTCGCCAACTATATGAGCAACTACGCCCCGCCCTCAAAGAGAGAGAGAGACACCGAGCTAGCCGGCTCCGGCCGGCTCAGCGACAGATAATCGTCAACTCATTTTTATCTTTACTTTATGTGTATCCCATTTCTTCATTACCCTCCTTCTTGCTACATATGCTCTCTGTACTTTCAAGTTTCCCTATATTCTTAGATCTCTATTGATGTAGTTTAAACTCCATTTCATATCCTAGCTCTTTCTTGATGTACTCTGTCCTGCACCCTTTGTGCTGCCCTATAATATCCTTTCTTGTTAATAAACCTTTAGTTAAAGAAAGGTGTTGCTGTAAGTAGGGAAGAATGCCCATATAAAAAGGTCCAACACAATGTTGAAGAGGCAACGCAACGTTGAAGAGGTGCAATGGATACGTGAAGATCTTTGCGGCAAGAAGGCTTTTCCTACAGTATTCCCAACCGGCATATATAAAACTCAAGTAGGTTTCTTACGAAGCGTTTATCAGACAATTATAAACAAAGCATAGGATATAAAGGTGTAGCGGCAGACGGCAAAACAGGGCGGAATAAAAGTATAAGAATAATTAAATGAGAAACGAGGTAGCTGATAGATAAGTGGCGGATAGATAAGTTTAAGGCAGAGAGTAGCCGAGCAGAAGCTAGTGCTCCGGCTCAACCTTACATAAGCATAGCAGTATAATGGACGCGAATAAATACAGAGCAAATATACGGAGAAGAATAATATGGGATAAACATATGACTAGAGATTGAATAAAAGTAGAGCGAGGGTGATTAAAATGAGAGGGGGGGGGCATTTGCACATTTTTATAACCCATCTAAGTAAATTTCAAAAATGCAACCCATTCTCGGAGGGGGGGAGGGCGTCCCCCCCCCCCCCGCCGAGAATGGGTTGCGAAATTTTGTGTGTATCAGTGGCGGACCGAGGGGGGGGGGGTTTCCCATACATACAGACAGACACGCATTCACCTTTATATATGAGATAAATGAAATCACAGGGCACTGAAATCTTCGATGTTCACAAGCTGGGATATAATGGAAAACTAAAATTTTCACATTTCCTTTGTCCTGTCGAAATCATGAGTAACAGCGCCATAATAGATCCTCAGTACAAGTTTAACTTGTTCCCATCGAGTTTATAAGAAGATAAATGACTAAAATGAGAGGTGATCCCCTGGGTTCCCGGATCACACAAAACAGTGAAATTCTCAACTTGTATGACAGTCTCTCATCCATTATGTTCAAGTATCAGGGTATAAGAACTTTGAGAGGGTAGACAAAGAGAAATAAAGGCAAGGCGTCTCTTCTCAGATCCTTCACAGCGGAGATGTACGTGCATACAGCGAACCTTTTTGTTGCCTTACCCCTTTCTATACTTTGAAAGCAGTGTCCGGGCAAAAACTCGATTTTGAGATTTTGTGCTTACTTGGGCCTATTCTCTATGCTGAATCCAAAAATTCACATTGTAGAGCGCGAAAATGGCGAAAAACGGCTCTAACACAGGAGGGAAATGAGCAGGTGGGCGGGGTCCTCCCCACTGCGAATTCCCGTTCCAGGCTTCCGGAGCGACCTTTTCGCTTCCGGTTTCAAGTCAATCATTCGCACTTGATCGGTAGCGATGTTAGGACGGCTAACGGAGTCGAGAAAATCGCTCCGGGAGCTGGGAGCTTGAAATCGCACTAGGGAAAGCCCCGCCCACCTGCTGACTTCCCTCCTGTATTAGAGCCCTTTTTCACCTTTTTCGCCCTTTCCAATGTGGATTTTCGGAATCAACATGGCGAATAGGCCCGTATAAGCACAAAATCTCAAAATCGAGTTTTCGCTCGGACACTGCCTTTAAAGAGGGCGTAAGGCCACGCGAGAGTTCACGTGATTTCATCGCCGATTCCACTAAACAAACAGTTGCGAGTCTATTGCATGCCGATCATCTTGGATTCGGTTGTGATAGTTCTCTAACACGAGCAATCGTGAGTTGCTATATTTTGGAAGAATCGCGGCGATGAAATTGCGTAAACTCTGCCCGAGGCCTAAGGAGGAAGCGGGACATGGGCAGTTGCCGTACTAAGAGTCCGCGTATTTCTTATAATTCCAGCAATCATCCATCACCCCCAGCCCTCGCTTATACACCTAACAAGGCCGCATTTTTGAGCTAGTGAAAGTTGTTCCCCCAAATCCAAGCCACGGTAAGACAACAGCAACTCCTAAGCAAAGATTACGAAATTTGTAGGATAGACTGTAGATGAAGCAGACATACACAAATATCGATGGATAGGAATTATTCATCAAGAATACAGCAAATATTCAGCAGCAGAACACAACCACAAATATGCAGTGACTTGTGCCCGTTCCATGCCTAATGAGACGCGAGGTCAACTTTCAGGTGCAAAGTCCATGCATTAATTACTGATGCTAGAGATACAATCGTTATGTAGATGGCAACTGCTAATGCTTTATAGCATGTTATTCAAACATTCAGCTCATTGCGGGAAGTAGATGTCTCATATTTGTCACCAACGGAACTAACAAGTTTATTCCATTTCTATGTCATCCGAGGCGCTATGTTGAAAGAATGCGTTTTTGCTGAAAGTGTGAAATATCCGCTGCGAACCTACTGACACATGTTCTACGATTTAGTACAGAACGTCTTATGCTTTGCGACTTAGGTGTACAGCGGGTTGGTACGTTGAGCTTATGGAAGACTGACATTGCTATAAACTGAATCTCTTTTGCTGGTTGTTCGATGTCATCATAGCTGTATTGGCTGTCAGCAAAATAGTAGCCAAACATAATAAGTTGATCTTGCAAAGTTCACTCATCAAAGGGAAAAGGGTATTCACCTAGTTCTTCAGCATGATTTCTATGGGTCACAGGAGCATGCGAGCCGACAATCATCGCTCTTATTTGGCATTATGCGCCAAATAACTCGCAGCAAAGGCATCCCTGCCCTGACCTCACTTCCTATGTACCAGTGGAGTTTTGGGGTGAGAAGTCATAATCTTCTTTACTAGATCACTAACAAAAGAAGTATCAACAGCTATTTTGCTTGAAGATATATAACTTGATATAATTTATCCGCGACACAACGCTAGAGATCACGATGGTACATCCACATTCCTGCTAGATGTGGTATTTCGTGATTGGGGCGCTTGTGCTAGTATTCCCTTTGTGAATATATAAAACCATTCAAGAGAAACAAATTTGGAAGGAATATTAGCACCCGATCACGAAATTCCACGTTACGGTAAAAATATAACAACACACCGATTTGACAAAGACATTGTAACAGTAACAACAAAGTACAGCCATGACAACAAGAAGGTTAGAATCCCGAATAACTGAAAACATCTTGTTGCTTGGCCAGTTCCAAAAGCATAGGATCGTCGAAGAATTTGTTGACAGAGACATCCTCCGACAAACCTTTCCTTCTCCTACAAACAAGAAAGTCGATTGTAAACAAAATCAATACTTTCCAGAAAAGAACAAAAAAGCCTAACCTGGTTTTGATCATAAATTCTCTAGCTAGATGAGGTGTTGGCTGCAATTCCAGAGGGCGGATGACGATTGACTTGTCTAACGGATCTCCAGGCACGATCTGAAAAAAGTTTGTACTGTATGGCATCAAAATGTATAGATAGTTGTTGATATTTACGAAGATGATGAAAACTAAGATAATTTGAGAAGCAACAGAAACGAATCTCACCTGCCAATGGTTGAACACCGACATGCAGAATGCCTGTCCTTGTGTATGGGTTCGCAAGTCAGTCTCAAAACCGAATGAATCCATCACAGGGATGAACGCCTGAACAATACGAGTTCCACGCGAAGAGTAGAGAGTAGGTACATGTCTCTCCCGGATGTGAGTACCATAAAACCACACCTTTATTGAATACATAGGTGAACCAGGAATGGGAGCGTCCGTTGTTACGTGACCCCTTCGTTTTGCTAGAACAGTGTATACCGAAGAAACGCAGTCAGCGGGTGCGATCACTTCAACGACAAAGTATGGCTCCATAAGACGGGGTGTAGCCATCTGGAAAATAAGCATAGATCACCGTAAGGAAACCGATAAAATAAAGGAAAAACCTACCAAGAAAGCAGAGTAAGCACATCGTCGAGCTGTTGGAATGACCTGCCCACCACCTCTGTACAACGGCTCCTTTGCTATAACCGCGTCCAGCATTTTGAACTTCACATTTCGGATAGCTTAAATCAAATCGTAATATACATAAACCAATTAGAGCTGTCGTTAAACCTACGTTCTTCACAAAGTGGACCCTCACGAGTTGCCCATTGGAAGCCTTGCACAAGAGACTCGCGTACAGTACCGAGAAGTTGCTTGTCAACCTGGATAATGTAACCACAATGACCGATAATATGGAAGAAGGAAAAGTCAAAATTACCTCAGAAGGTAAAGTATCATCGAGCAGGACATTAGGGCCAGCGATATCCGGCCCAAATGCCCAGATAGATCTAGCTGCTAGCAAATCCCAGTCATATTTTGTTTGGAAGAACTCTCCAATCCTGCGCCGATTCCAACCAATTTGAACCACCTAAAGATAGATTTGGCTGCAAACCCTGCAATCGAAAGTTATCTGACGCTACCTCATTCTCGATATCTTCAGCTAACCCTTTTTCGAGTGGTTCAGAAATCATTGTGATTTTGTTCCTGTAGAGAACAATTAGACAACGCAAAGATGGGGTAAGAACATCATACTTTTTATTCGGCGTTTCAGCGAAACATTTCAGTGATGATGTCTCCACAACGGTCTCACAGAATGTCACAACAGGATCAGCTACTTTGATGTCAATTTCAGAGAACACCTGAATAGCAGCGCTAATAATAAACATGCTGAAAAAAATGTGTAGAAGAAGCATCACCTTTCGCATATCATGCATGACGCTGTCCATATATAGTTCACCAGTTCCCAGCAAAACATGTTCTCCAGATTCTTCAACACGTGTTGTAAGCAGTGGATAAGATTTGTTGACCTCAAACGGTGATACTTGATAAGAGTGAAGAATGAGAAAGATCCACTTACTTTCCGCAGACCGTCCAACATTTTCGGCAATTCAGAAGGGTTGATTGGCTCGATGGCCATCTTCACTACACTCTTAGTATTAAACTTTAGCGGACGGAAAATGTACATCTAAACCACAAAAGCTTTGAAAAGTGCAAATGCGAGAACGACAAAAATACTGACATCCTCCTCATACTCCAGTTCAGCAATGGTCGATGTCTTCACAATCGGTTGATCGATACCTTCGATGAGGGCCCAGCAACCAGCCGGTATTCGAGAAACTTCAATTTGATACCTAAACCGACAGTACAGATATTGTGAAATCAAAGTCAAATGGCTTTACCTAGCCACATGGACCCATAACCTGCCTACTGTTAGACGCCGACAGTCTTCCTCATCCTAAAATCATAACAGGCTTTGCGAGGTTTTTAACATGAACGTGCTTGCAAAGACTACTAAAAGGGAAAAAAAGCTGAATATAAAAGACTAAAGAAACTGAAAGCGTATAGCATCTGTGAAGTAAAGTCTCTGAGTAAAAATTTCTGATAGGTTCTTTTACCTGAATACTGTAGTTCTCTCCAAGCACCCGTACATCTGCATTGCTTTCGATAGTACCGCTCATGACACGCCCAAGCACTCGGAAAGAGGTAGCGTCTGCTGTTGGATAGTTCTTGGTAGTGTGAACCATCAGTGGACCCTATACTAATGATTTAGTAGTAAAAGTACTAAAGAAAAACCGCACTAACATTTGCTTCACATTTGGACATCTCTGCTGCTAGCTTACTGTCAGCAGGACCAAGCCAGATGTGTTCCACTTTCGTCTTTGCGTTCTCTATGGGAGATTTGATATTCTTCACAACTAGGTCCACAAATGCTGGAAATATGTCAATAGCTATACGATCAATAAGTTACGCCATAACTTACCTTTGAAGTCTCCAAAGAAGCGCTTGCAAATAAGCGCAATCAATGGTCGCACATTCATTTTCTGCTCTTCTTTTGTAAGCTTGATGTTCAGTTCAGACATCATGTGCGGCAAACAGGTATCCACATCTCCCACAACCTGTCAAAGTCACACCAATTTGTTTTTACAATTGTATTGTTACATTTAAAGTTCACCTGGCTGAAGATTTTGTAGAGTGGTTCCAGGATGAACTCCACAAATGTCCGATGTGCATTTGCACTGGGTGGTTTCTTCGAGAACTTTCTAGTATTTTTGTCGAAATAGATATCACCCCAGAGCCGACGTGCAAACTCATGAGCATTGATGTTTCCTGAATTCACACTATGAGATTGCCTTCACAGAGTGTGAATATTTATACTTACCATAACGATCAGCATAGATGTTGGCAAAAGAGAGGAGCGAGAAGCATACGTTGTAGCGGCCAGATGCAAAGATCACATTCTCTAGCAAAGGAGACAGCACAGTATTTTCCTCCTCTGAGAACGTTCTGAAACAATATTTTGTCAGAAATGAACAAATTAAACGAATAAAAAATGAGTTGAATACTTACTGGAGCAAAGCATTCACTTGGTCGATGACCAGTCGCAGTTTGTAGTAAGCATCCGCGGGAGGCATTTTCAGCTCCAAAATTAGGCGATCGATTTTATTGACACATAACGTGATTGGCAAACGTTCTTGAACAGCATGTCGAATTACTCGTTCGGTGTTCATCATAACCTAAAGGACGAAATTTCGCATAACCTATGTCAAACAAGCAGTAAAAGGGGCATAACTACTACTCTGCACACAAAATGTGCAAATTTTCTGGACAAATGGAACATATCTTGTAAACACTTACACCCTCATGTGCGTCAACAACAATGACAACACCATCACAAAGGCGATAAGCTGCTGTTACTTCGTCCGAGAAGTTCACATGACCTGCAAATTATAAAATGTTAAGTCAACGCGCAATAAAAAACAAAATAAACAAAATAAAAAAAAACAAAACCACAATCATCATACATGAAATACACACCTGGAGTATCGATAATATTCAAGAGGTAACTCTTATGACGAGTGTCTTGCATCACGATTGTAACAGGCATTGCCTTGATAGAGCAACCGCTAAAGGCAACATACTTATCTAAGCATCAACGACAGCGCAAGAAAAATTACCGTTGTTGTTCGATAAAAAGCGTATCGGTGTATCTGGTGTCAGCATCTTCTGCACGGAAAAACTCAGGATGTGTTTGTTCCATGAGGCAGTCCAAGAACGTTGTCTGAACACAGAGTTGGTCAACTGCTATCTTGATCGGGAATAACTTGTGATATCACCTTTCCATGATGAAGATGACCAGCAATGGCGACATTTCTCATTATATGAGGACAGTCCATAAGATCAGCCAGATACTCTTTGTTGTAAACAGTCTCAGGTAGATTGTGCTCCACTGACTAAACACACGATGAGATGGACATAAAATGTAAAACGACAACGGCTCTTACCTGGAATTTCCTCTGGGTAACAGGTTTGATGATGGGTTCTGTGAGAGGTTGCGCATCTTCTTCTTGCACAATGGTTTCCACATTTTCACCATAAACCTGAACAGGAAGATTTTGATTTTCCCAAATTTGAATATGATAGAATTGAGCTAATGGTGCCCAAAACTAACCTCGACAGCAGATGCGTAGTACTTCTTGTCTTCGTGGAGAACTATCTGGTTTTGAGGAATCTCTTCGGCATCATCCTCCACTTCCTCCTGCAAATAATTCTTAAAGGCAGTGGACAGGCAAAATGGACCCCTGTCAGATTTTGGTAGTTTCGGGTAGTGGACCCCCCAAGTACACCATAGTCCCAACCTCACCCTGCAAATCATGTGCTAAGTTCCGAAAAGAAGCTTCAAACTTCCACCAATAACGCCCACTTAATGGAAGTGGGCGGGGCTGGTGGAGTTTTGAAGCGCTTTTTTCAAGACTTAGCGCATGAATTGGAATGTGGGGTTGGGGCTAGGGTGTACTTGGGGGGTCCACTACCCGAAACTACCAAAATCTGACAGGGGTCCATTTTGCCTGTCCGCTGCCTTTAAACTGTACAACAAATACGTAAAATTCAGAGCAAGCAGTTTAGGAACAAAGAGTATAGAGAAAAATGCAGTCTGAACCATTTTTTCTTTGAAAAATGTCACATTTAAAGGCAGCGTCCAGGCAGACCTGGACCTAAGGATTTTACGTGGAAAGTATGATCGTCTCCACGATTCGTGTAGAGGTGAATTGCAGACTCTGCATACACAGGTAAACTTGCTGAACCTCCACGTCATAGCATTGTTTTTTGCTCTCTCGCTATCAAAAACCGCCACGCTTTGAATTGGCAGAACCCCGCCTCTACATGAATCGTGGAGCCGATGATGCTTTTGGGCCTTAACTACGGCACTGCCCTAGCGGCAGCGCAGGTAGTGCTCTAACGGCTGAGATATTCCCCTCGAAACTGGACCCCGCGATCGTATTCGCATGGACTCATGGCAGTGCGCCACGATCCACGCTTTGCGCCATGAATCCATGCGCAATACGATCGCGGGGTCCAGTTTCGAGGGGAATATCTCAGCCGTTAGAGCACTACTTGAGCTGCCGGTTGGGCAGTGGCTTAGTTAGGGCCCCAGAATTACTATCCAAGTAAGACCCCCATGTATCCAGCTTTGCCTGGACGCTGCCTTTAGGTGAAGGCTATCTCAATCGCACAGTCGGGTATCTCAATCGCACAGTCGGGTCCAGAGCAGCTCGAGTCCCTGGCCAACGCGTCTGGACTCTGCGCCGCCTTCGCGAACTTGTCTTCCGATCATTTTCCCAAGCCTAGGCATGGGAAAAGGCTCAGAGCCGAGCTTCAGTCGTTATCAGGCGTGAGAAAATGGTTAGAGAACAGACTCGGAAGCGCAGTACAGCAAGCCGAAGCGAGGCGGTCGCGCGGGACCCGATCTGCTGCTGTCATCGACACCGATTAAGATAATCTTTTCCAAGACTTTTTAAACCAGTTTCTACTTTCGACAATCATAAACAACTACAAATTCTCAAGAAAGTTCTAGTTTATCACGCAAATTATTAAGTAGAGTAAATGGGAAGAAAAATTCGAAGTCTTTGCGAAGTCCCGTTCTAGTCGTTGGATACGCGAATCGCACAATGGCATTTTGAAAGACGGTTCAAATAGAGAATGGCCCCAGCTTCCCTAAAACTTGTTCTCCCACACTAAACCTTGAGGAATCTATATAGTCCTAGAGCAACTTTGAACATTTACCCTTTCTGTCTTTTCCTTGTCAAAACCTCTGAGGTTTAGGTTCAATTACCCAAGTTTGAAGTCACTAGTAACAACAGCACAACACTGGAATTCTGTCACCTAATCCCTTAACCTGTAGGGTTAATCTTTGTTCTCATTTAATTTACTGTTGACTTCCTTTGTACCCTGGTAAAAGAAAAAGATTGCAGGTTTCCTAACGCTATATTTTGTACCTGATCATCCCCTTCTTCAGCTTCTTCTTCCCCATCACCCGCAAGTGGAACATCATCTTCATTTTCATCATCATCTGAGCCAAGTTCAGGTCCAATGTAGTTGCCAAACTCGTCGTATAGATCGGAATCCATGCTTATTCGAGTAACCTGGAATCGCCGAGCTAATTTGCAACCAGTAGATTACTAAGTAATTCGTAAAGACAACTGATCTTAAATAGGTATGTCACTAAGTACGGCAGAATGCGAAAAAGCCAGAGGAGTGACCTTTTGCGCAAAAAATTATTCGAATCTCTTTTGCACCGCATATGCGTCAACGCGCATGGCCTGGCGCGGTTTGCATCCAACGTGGCCAAAATTGCCGAATTGTCTTCTGAAAGTTTCCCGTTTGCAATTTGATTTGACGTTCTCCTGTTATTTTCGGGCTCTGCAGGATAATGAGCTATCAATACGAAGGTCCTCAGCTGGAGACAGTACGTACAAGGCAAATAGGTGAGCGTTCAGCATCTTGCTTATTTTCCGTTTTTATATTTTCTTTTTTTCTTTTCTGGTTTATACGATAGGTTGAGAACTCTTATATTCACATTGGCATCTTCATCTCTATGGTACGAATTCTGGCGCTTTTAGACCATCTTTACCTTTCTATGTATTAAGCAGCTGTAGAATCGCATATAAAAAGAAGGGTCAGGGTTAGGTGGCAGTTTTTTTGCAGTGTATGATTGCAAATGGATTTTAGCCTAGTGAAGGTTATTTTCGATGCTCGTAACGTTTATTTTTACAGATAGCTGGAAACTATCATATGCATATGCATGCATATAGGAAATTAAAGAATTTCGATTATAAAAGAAAAAAATTGCTAAAAAGGTATAGAAGAATTGGAGTCCCTAGGGAAGAAATTGACCCTCTTGACATGCTCCCCTGTTAGTGATAGAGAACTGCAAACACCGGAATTTTTATTTACTTGTACCCAGTCTAAAATTTAGGCTTCACTTGCATGATGAACGCCATACCAAACTGTACGATGCTGCTTTTTTTCAAAATTTTATAGATGCATTTAGCTAGATTACATATCTGTTTGGAACTTTGCCTAAAAGGACTTCTTTAGTCTGATCGAGATATTCGTTTACATTGTATCTACAGTATCCCGCAACATGGTAATCCCCGCATTAAATTGCTGTGAAGTGCGAGTCCATTGTATAGTCAAGATTAGAGAATTCTCTAGTTTTGAAACTAAGAGATTATCACCCATATAAATCCTGTGCGAGTACATATGTTTTGGAATGCCACAAAAACATACATTTACATCCGAAGGGATCCGTCAAAGTTCACTGATGTTACGAGTGTTACCCATGTCACTAGTGTTACTCGCGTTACTAGTGTTATTCGTGTTACCTGTGTTACCAGGTGTTACCCTTGTTACCAGTGTTGCCTGTGTTACTTGTATTACGAGTGTTACTCGTGTTGCTTACCAGTCAATGAGACTGCGTTTTAGAATGAGACTATTTGTGACCTTTCACTACTCAACAGCAATAAAAGAGGTAACAGGAGTAACACTAGTAACGCTAGTAACATGAGTAACGCTAACTTGAGTAACACTGGTAACACGGGTAACATCGATAAACTCTGACGGATCCCTACGCTTTTTCATTTTTTGTGAGTCAATTGAGCAGATCGCAAAACACTCGTTATTTTTCTCCATTTCGGGTGCCATATGTAGACTATATATCTTATACTTTCCATGAGGTGTGCTCAAATAAGTTTTCCAGCTGCACTTCGTAATGTCATAAACCTGAACCAACCTGTTACAAATACCATGGTTTCTGAACCTGTGTGGAAAATCTTGGTGATGGACAAGCTTGGCCAAGACGTAATCTCGCCATTGTTACCCGTCAAAGTGCTGCGAGAACTGGGAGTCACTTTGCATTTGTAAGTTATTTCCTGTTCTGATAACAAGCGGAATACCATATTTCAAACTTTTTGAGGCTGGTCGGTTCAAAACGTGAAGCTCTAACCGATGTGCCAGCGGTCTACTTCGTTTCGCCTACTGATGAAAACGTTGATTTGCTATGCGAAGATCTCAGGAGAGGCATGTACGACAGCTTCTACATCAACATGATCTCTCCGCTTTCTCGTGCTCGTCTGGAAAACTTAGCTTCCGCTGCTGTTCAGGGAGGCACTATCGGACAAGTGCAGAAGGTATCGTTGCAGCTTCCTTGTTTTTTTTTCTTACAATCAAGATAGGTTTGTTCAGGTTGTCGATCAGTATTTGAATTTTATTTCTTTGGAGGACGATCTGTTTGTCTTGCGACGATACTCCGAGAACAGTCCAATGTCCTACTATGGTAACGGTTGATATGTTGTTGAAGCATTTTTTATTTCTTGTTTTTTTTTTGGGGATAGCAAGCTTCGTATTTCTGGCGAACTCAGTTTTTTTTTGCCAATCACTATTATTAATTTATGAGTGGCACATTCTGACACTGAAATATGGAGTGACCTGAATATTTCATTTGTTTCGCTTTCGTTAGCTACGACTTTTTGTAGCAATCAATGATCCGTCGACGTCTGACGATCAAATGGCAGCCCTCATCGAGAGTGTTGCTGACGGTCTATTTTCTGTTTGTGCCACGATGGGTATCGTACCAATCATCCGGTGTCCCAAAGACAACGCTGCTGAGCAGGTGGCCAAGGTAAGGCTGCTTTTTTGAGGAAGTTATGTTGATCACTAGATTTTACTTATCTTTGATTATAATGATTATTATCTAATCATCACCTTGAAAGGTCTTGTTTAGCGGTTGGACCAAAAACTTCGGGATAATTTGCGAGACGCTCGAAATAACCTCTTCACTGTTGAAAGTGTCCGTGCTGGACAGCTAAACGCTAGTCGCCCCCTTTTGTTGATAGCTGACAGGTTTGACCCGTTTTTTGTTTTTATTGTGGTGTTTTTTGAGTTGAATTTTCTTTCATTTGCATACAGAAACATGGAAACAACTTCTATGCCTTTTTAGATCCGCAGATCTTGCGACTATGTTACATCACACATGGACATACCAAGCTCTCATTCATGATGTGTTGGTAAGCTCGAGATTGTGTATGCTTGCATTTTTTCCGTTAGAATAGATTGTCTTGTTGTAGGAATTGGATCAGAATCGAGTGACCATTACTGAGAAGGCGAAACGTAAAGAGTACGATATGTCGAGTGGAGGATCGGATAAATTATGGACCAAGCATAAGGTAATGTCATCAACTACTTATAGTTCGACTACTTGTAGCTTACATTTATACTGTTTCTTTTCCATACTCAAATTTATATAAAACGCATGTGACAAAGTTGTGCTTTACCTCAATCCTTGGGTATTTGAAAATGTCGTTCAGGGTAGTGCGTTCCCACTTGTTGCTGAGGCGATTCAGGAAGATCTGGAAGCATACCGAAGCAGTGAAGATGAAATCAAGCGATTGAAGCATGCCATGGTGGGTTAATTGAAATATCATTTTTGCGGATTTACTGTTTTTTTTTGTTCTTATCTAAAAATTGAGTCACTGTTTTATTCTTGCGAGCTTGCACCATGCACTAACATCTTTATAAAGCTAGCATGGAATCCTCTTTATAGCGCTGATAATTCGCATTTTTCTGCTGATGGACCTTTGTAGGGCATGGAAGGCAACGAAGCAGATGCTGCAATGACATCGCTGTTGACGGATACCACTGCCAAATTAGGATCCACCGTAACTTCCCTGCCTCAATTGTTGGAAGCAAAACGACTGATTGATTTGCACACGAATGTTGCCACCACCTTGCTGGACCAAATCAAACAACGAAAGTTAGATGTGCTCTTCGAGCTAGAACAAAAGTTGCTGCAACATTCACCTCTCGGTTTGTGCCGGATAACACTGTACAAGGTTTTTTTCAATGATTCATGTTTAGAAATGCCGCTTTTGCAACTGCTCGGCGATCTTAGTAATCCCGAAGATATTCTCCGAGTTATTCTTATCAATTATTTGTGTCAGGACAGTGTTTCGGAGGTAACTAGCTTGTATCTCGTTTTCGTTTTATTGGCATTTGCAGCCTACTTTGAGTCCTAATTTTTAGGCCGAGCTAGAAGAGCAGTTGAAATTCCTTAGGGAGAGAAATGTTGATGAATCAGCCATTCGTTTTGTGAAGAAAATGAGGTTTGCGCTATCATGTTCTGATAATGTGAGGTTGCACCATCCAATGTTTGAGGTCGGTATCACAGCTGGGGAAGTCACCACCATTAGAAGAGCATCATGGAGCTGGTACAAAGACCATCAACATGTTCAACAAACTGCTCAGCCATAGTTCTCGGTTCGTCATGGAAGGTGTCAAGAACCTTGTTCCCAAAAAGCACAACCTGCCCTTGACTATGGTGAGTCTGTCCATTTGTTTTGCTAACCTTTTCTTAGATCGGTCACGTTTTTTGAGCAAAATTCAATTTTTTAGTGTAGGAATCTCGTTTAATAAAAAAAAGGAGTTATCGTCTTCCATCATTTTTCTTCTCTCTTACTTTATTACTATTATTATGATTTATTAGTTATTATTACGATTTTTGCTTTGCTGTTTCCTCTCAGCATTAGCCTTATACTTCAAAAAAAAAACACCCTCCTCTTCATCTTCTTATCGAATTTCACCTACATAACGGCGTAGATTCCACTGGTGGCTATAGCATTAGCTGGGCTCTTTGTCTTCTAAGTTACAGTGATAAACCTTTTGCAGATGGTCGATTCATTGGTCACACCACCGTCATCATCAACCGTGGGAATAAATCAAATGATGGGTGCAACGCAAACGAATGAAAGCGACGAGCTTTGCTATCTTGATCCAAAGGTTATGCACGCCTTGTCCAGAGAGTGAGTGCTCATATTTCTGTTTGAATTCATTTTTTGTCGTGAATCTCGTCGCCAGTTTTGCAGACATTCAGCTGCAGGAGAAAGATTTTGGCTTGAATATCGCCGAGTTTTTGCAAGTTATGGCTTCAATGAAAAATTAATTTCAGCACCTCAACAGTCGCACGCGCACGGCAGCCACCTCCACAAGATGTCATACTTTTCGTGATTGGTGGTGGCAATTACGTCGAATATCAAAACCTTGTTGACTATGGAAAACTGAAGAATTTGCAACGAGTCACATATGGATGCACAGAGCTCGTCAATGCGAGGCAATTCACCGATCAGGTTAGTTGGATTGATGGTTTGAGAGATGCGAAGAAGTTTGTCTAACTGCTATTCTATTTTCTCACGTTTCGGTAGATGATTTATAAGCCTTCGCATGAGTTTTAAATAAGTGCAAATCCTAAGAAAGAAATTGAAATCTCATATCCTTGTTCTCGAGTGCTGACATTATGTCAGATGACTCAACACCCAGTAGTACATGTTGCTTGTGAATAAGTGCATGCTATTTATGTTCTAAATTTTGCGTGAGCACTTCTTCTCAAAGGCGATTTGATTCGAAGTTTTTGCAGGCCTGAGAGGCGGGTTGCGTGACTGATAGTCTTTCAAAATCGCTTGTTTGTCATTTCCCGTAGCTTTCTGGATCTCATAATTTAGACCAAAACACTTTTTCTTCTTTAGATTGAGTTTTTCAACAGCATATCAGATGACTCCCTAAATCAATTTTGAGCAAAAGTAATTTAGGGTCCAGGTGCTGGGATAACGCCAATTTCCTTTAGTTTAGTGACATTTCAAACGTCACCGAAGCTTACAATCCTGTCAGTTATTTTCGTTAAACACTAGATGGCAGTGATTGACTGCGTGCATCAGGGATTACTTCACCCAGCATGTTTGGGTGTTTTTGTAATCAGTGCTAGTTAGTGTAAGGATAGTCGTATGGGCCTAGTCTCTTGAGACTATTGGCAAAATAAATTGGCTTGTTGATGTAGTAGAGATAGCTGCTGCGAACTGGTTCATGTTTAGATGGAGTAAGATTTTGTATACATGTTGCGCTGAAGAGGAAGATAATTGAGAATGAGGGCATGCTTCAACGGGAAATCGATAGTTGAGCAACTCATCTTTACCATAACCATTGTTGAAATGAACTGCGTGCTATGAGAAGCGCTACAAAATTGTGATCTATTTTTTATTTATAGAATGATCTCACGGGGCACTATTTTTCTGGGTAGCCAAAAGTATTGGTATCAGTAGATTAACAAATCTGACTATATTGTAGCTAAGAATATCCGAGAGAAGTAGGACTTTCTAGAGAAAAAAATCACTTTTATTTGATACTTCAAAGCGCATTGGTTGGGATATTTTTTGTTTGTGAGTATGAGTATAATTTGCGAGTATAGTTAGGAAATTGCGAGTTTGCGAGTATAATTTGAAAAATGATCTATTCCTGTTTGCTGGTAATCAAAATTCTTATACGATTTCTGTTAGTAACGATCTGCAGTTCTTTGAGAAATGGTTGACGCTACTGACAGTGGAAACCGTAAAATATCATAGAAGATCCCCCCTTCCCTAAAATCCTATTCCTCTTAACAAAACAATTTTTGTGAGCTTTGAATATAGGCTGCTGCATGACAAAGGCGCATATCGTAGGGCGCATACGCGACTTATTAGCCGCAGAGCGCATGAGGCGCAGGATTCAACGGTGAGGATACGCGCGCGTCGCGTTCGCTCCCTCTCAGCTGATACTGCTTTTGCGCCTTCGTCATGCAGTAGCCTTTAAATGTATGCGAATTATATGAGTTTGCATCACAGAAATCAATAGCTCATATGCATAATTCATTTATATTAGGTAGGTGCAAAAGTTTTGTCAGTTTTTTCAGTCCGGCGGCAAACATGTTAAAATGAAAATAAACAACACTTCAAAATGTACCCGATGCAGAATTTCTTCCTCTTTCCAGCCGCTAAAATCTCATTGTGTTTCGTCGTGAGAGTGCGAGATATTTGCTGAGAATTACAACCACTCGTTTTTACCATGTCCAACTTTCACTGATTTTCAAAATTTTTGTATGAGACTTTCGGAGGAGCCCTAATAACCACCAGATAGGGCAAGCCTTTTGCCAACTTATGCAATTTTTTCCTTTCTTTCAGCTGCTTTTTCAGATTTTTGATAAATAATTTTCTAAAAGTCTTGTGTTTTGGCAAAATAGCATGACCTGTTATTGCACCAAACATTGCAAAACCTACAAAATACTGAGGTTTCAACACTCGATTATTACTACCGCTACCATTACAAATCAAATGAGCGATTTTCGCTTTAAATTATGAAAATTTTGAACATAGGTTATGTCAGTGCGCACTCATGAAATTGAGAAATACTGCGATTTTTCCCACAAAGTTCGTCTACCTCGGCAAAAAAAGACAAGTGTTAAAAGGAGGAGAAAAAGTTGCATCGAATAATGACCGAAGTGTTTAACATTTCATGTTCTGCGAGGTTAAAATAGGCTAAATGTAAAATTTGGTCACTTCAACAAATAAATCGTAGAAATTCTGAAAGACAAGACGTAGGGCTATAAAAAATTGCTTTTGTTGGCAAAGAGTTTGCCCTATCTGGTGATTATTAGGGCTTCTCCGAAAGTCTCATACAAAAATTTTGAAAATTAGTGAAAGCTGGGCATTGTAAAAACGAATGGTTGCAATTTCCAGCTAATATCTCATCACTCTCTCAACTAAACACAATGAGATTTTAGCGCTGGAAAGAGGAAGAAATTCTGCATCGGATACATTTTGAATTATTAATTTTTCTTCATTCTGACGTGTTTGACGATGGATTGAATAAACTTACAAAACTTTTGCACCGACCTAATATAATTGTGATGACGATTTTACTGCGGACTTTGCACCCACAGAAGTATAAAACGCTCATACAAAAAGGCACCACCTCAACTTTCAGCTCAGCAACTTCCAGTGTCTAAATATTATCATACGTAAACAAAACACCATTTGACTAGAGATAGATCTGCTTAGTGGTGTTTAAGAGGGTTTTTTTTTGTTTTTTTCCAACGTTCGGGCAGATTTTTTCTCCAAATTTTCAATCTATGTTTTGGTAAGAAATGAATATGTCTGTTGCAGGCAAATGTCCAACTCTTTTTCATAATCTTTTGCTTTGTGGAATGCACAACCACATCATTCTCCCCCTGTTGCATCTGTTAAATTTAGAGTTCGTGCATTTACATTCGAACGCTACGATGACAGCTTTTCCCTGAGGACGCATGCGTCGCTCATGTTCTCCATTCATCCATGTGGCGTGTGTTGAATCTGTCACAATACGACGTAGTTCGTGACGAGTACATGCTTGAGAATACTTTGGATGAAGAACTTGCAAGATTATAGTTACTAGGTTTGAACGTTTATATAGGATATTGGCGATGTACGACACTTGCGCGTAAGATGGATTGCATCAAATTGTCCACACTATTGCCATTTTTCACGCGCGAATGTTGTCGTCTTCGTAAGTGGCGGTTTTTGACAGGAAAATGTTGTCGGCATTGTGCAAGTGCACTATACTATTCATTGAAATAAGTCTGCTTTACTAAATTTTCTCTGAAATTCTATGAAGCTGTAGGTTAATGTTTCAAACTTGGAGGGGTCTGAGCTTCAGAATTATTCTTGCAAAAGCGTGATTGCAATAGATTATGTTTATTCGAATGCGGCGAAATGAAATTAGCCAGCAGAAGTGAATGAGACTGAAAGTGGGTTATGAATCATTTTTCCTGACTAAGGTAAGGAAGGGGGTCACAATGATTCCCATAAGGCATCATCGTGGCAGCACTGCTCCAGTGCCATGCCTGAGCCGTGCTAGCACCGTGCCGGAACCCACATGGACGCGCTCCTTACTATTGATTGACGTTCCGGCACGATGCTAGCACGGCGCTGGGACCATAACTGTAGACGCAGACCTGCGTTGATCGTTTTTAGGATTTGTGTTCTTGTATTTCAACTTTCTCCAAATTTAAGCTTGCTACGATATATTGCAGACGTGCCCTCTGCGTTCTTACGCTTGCTTCTTATCCGTAATGCTTCCCAGGACACGCTTTCTGCTAAAGCGCAGTTTATAGGACTAGTCACGCATACGAGTAATATTTTGGCCAATCCCAATCCTTCCTCTCCGATCTTTTTTTTAGATGTTTAAGAAGTGTTAATTATGGATAAGTGTTCTGAAAAATGAATTCTTGGTGTTGGAGGCTCATGTTAGACGCTAGTGAGTGGCGTAGCAGCCTTATATTGGCCCCTACGACATTTTCGCGTAATTGCTTTCCCTCCCTTACTTGTAACGCATTGTAAAATTGGTAGCCCATTCGCTGCATTATCTCAAATCGTTAGCTGGTGAGTGCCCCTCCTTACGGTTGCTTTTTTTTGTACTTGCATCCCTCCATCATTGTCTTTTCGCCTTTTTTAGAATCTACCGGCTCATAGCCATTTAGCGCTGCATTTAAGCCATTTGAATGCAATTCTCTTTGGTTCTGCACTTTTTCAAGCAATTTCTTCCAAATGTATTGCTTCAATATACCCAAAAACGTCCTGGAATTAGTATTGTTATGGCCTAGAGTATGACAAGTGGAGTGCAGGTTATGTGTACGGAGAATTTTTTTTGGATGTTTTTGCCATGTGCTGCGTCCAGGGTTACCTACGTGCCAGCACCGTTTCAGCGCCATGACCTCCTGAGGGCTGACACGCTAAGGCGGTGATTGGCTGATTGCTTACTCGCGACACGCCCATACCATTATCATTTCTAAAAACCACAGGAAATCCAATTTTGAGATTTTCACAAGGTGTGAAGTATGGGCTTAGTAAGCTGTAGATTGATAACAACTTCTTTATATTGAGAACGCGTTACGATGAGTGGACAATTGGAGTATTGCCAAATCGCGTCGGGCTAAAATCGCGTGAAGTATGCCTGGGGCCTAAAACATTGTGAACTGCATTGCGTTTGCAAGAAAAGCGAGTAGAAGAAGTTTTTTGCTACCTCCCTCACTTCCAGTGCGGCACTCGCCTCTTGCTTCGTTTTCGTCGCTTTTCTTGGGCTAAATGAGTTGCCAATCCTATCTGGCGTGAGCAATCCCTAGGGATACATGTAGCAGTAGCTAGGGTGTGACTTTTTTCAACATGTGTGACAATTAAATTTAAGAGTGCAGCGGATGTTCTGGTATGTCATCTTGGTACCAAGTTTATGATGACTTTCTCAAGAATTTTTAGCGTTTGTTGAAACGTTTCTTTTGGATTTTTTGAGAACACCACTGTTTTCTCGTTGCTGACAGCTCTGTATTTTTTGTGGATTATAGGCTAAAATGGCTTTCCTGTTTATTGTATAATCAAATATTTAAAATATTCAAATAATGGTTTCTACAAATACTCCTCTAGATGTGGTTATAGGGCATGAAATAGTCATGTTTATAGACGACACTTCTCCGATAGAATATCTCGTACATTCTAGGGGCCATGCCACATACATAGATTCAATTTGGGGAACACCAGCACTTTTGAGAGAAAGCGTGACGAGTAACATTGCATCGCTATGGTTGAGCAATATTTCCCAATTACGGAAGTATGAAGAAGTTAGAAGCATAGAAGTGGTTCGTATTTGTAAATGTATTCTAATGCCGCATTTTTGAAGGAAGGTCGACCACGTAAAAATAATATTGTGCACGCAATTCACGGCACGCAGAGACTGGACGTCTTTGCGCCCTGTTGAGATGGTACGTGTTTAGAAGAGGCAACAGACGGTCAGAGACATGAGAGTGCATGTATGTTGAAAGACGCAGACAGCGTTCACAGTGACGCGCTATCTCTGCGTGCGATGAATTGTCTATACCTTGCTCTAGTTTTTTTTTGTATAATAATTTCATGATCGAATGTTCTTTGTTGCTAATCACTAATTTGATGGTTGCTAATGGACCCTCCATAATCTGACTGGTTTTTTGAAACATGGAGCAAAATTGAGGATCTGTCTTGCGCTGTAGTTGACTTAATTGGGCATCACACTGGCACCACGTTCGGCCCTAGCGAGGTTGCTGGTACACTTCTTCACTACACGATTTGGTCTGCTCTAGTAGTGTGGAAGTCTTGGTAGGAGCCTAAGTGTAGTATGAGACCCTCTACTTGTTCATTTCAGCATGTGGATTTAGATCGATTTATTTACAGGCGTTGTAGCTGTGAAGTGAACTAAAATGAACCGATAAGATTGTAAGAAACAATGTGGTCATCTCGATTACCTAATTTAAGGGATAGCAAATGGATATACCGTACTACTACCGTACAAGTAGAGGATCTCATGACCTTTGCTAGATTCTTGCCATTTACTCGTGAATTTAAAATCATTCTGCACCGAAGTCGAATTGAGGAAGGTTTTATTTGAGGCTATCAAAGCACTTGAATTATGAGCGACTTTTGGTTGGTTTGTTGGTTTCGATGTTCCTCGGCAGACCTATCCATCAGCCTAAATGGCGTGACCGCTTTTGCTGCAGTTTTTGATATCTAACAATTTGTCGGTAACGCGGAAGCCTCCCCTTGAAATAGGTTTCTTTTTGCTTGATGACATCAAATGATATTCTCGCTGAAGTTGATTGCTTGGAATAGAGATGTTATGCATGAATATTTACTAGCTGCATATAATGATTGCATCTCTGGCGCTGTTATTCTTAGGATAACAAGAAAGCATGAGACGGAGACCAGAATGACTTTATGAAGTGTAAAATCTAAGGGTCTGTGGGTTCTCGTTATTTGTAAAAAAAGATTCGGAATTTCTATCAAGCCATCGAAATGCAATTCGTTGCACTGTGCCCTTGACGAATAGGCTAATGGAGAAATTTCTGGCAGACATGCAGCAAATTTCCTTCTTTCTTCTTGTGGATTAGCCCTCGTAATTAGAAATGGAATAAGGTTAAAACTAATCCCCAATGGCTTACCCTTACCCTTTGTTTGGGTGCAAAAATGTTCAAAAGAGGGCATGTTTAGGAGTTGATTAGTGATCTGTGGGTGTCTTGGTGATCATTCATTTCTGAGAGTTACAACCTTAAACTCCACCCCACACCGTTTTCTTCCAAATTGGATCAATCAGCGCCGCCTACGGTATTGGGCACCAGTATCGAGTTGAATTCCTGTACCGCCTAAGACTTATGCGCAATTTTTTCATGGGCATGGTTTGGTTGGGGCCTTCCAATTTCTTTACAAAATGTATTCAGCTTTGTCTGGACACTCTCTTCAAGGTGTGCTTTGATCGGATGGGGCCTCATTGAAAATAAAAATCCTGCAACTGCTTAAAATTCTGCAAGGACCATTAAGCATGTCTCTAGCTGCCCACTAAGTTCAGCCGCTCTTCTAATTGTGCTTTGGTTCTACGAAAAGCTTCACAGTTGGAAGATGGATGCTTGACACAAACATTCCTCATCTTTTCGAAGGTCCTTCAAGCCTTTTTTTATCGTAAAGGAAGAATTTCGAGATAGCTTGAAGTTGTTCCGATTAGCAGAGAGTGGGCGAGGTTTTTTCACGCTTTTTGAGTTCCTAGTTGGAGTTTGTTGCTTTTGCAGATTTGCAACGGCTCCCAAGATTCTCCGATTCAATTGAATTTTGAAGACATGGCCATGTGACATAAACTGCTTGCCCTTTTCTTCCAATTTAAAGATTTTTATCACAGTCATGGATCTATAAAAGTTTTAGATTGCTCTGAATCGTTTCAACTCACATTTTCACTCGTATGTGACATGACTTTAGAGATCTCATTTGGAGTGAAATCGAATCAAAAAAGATCATTCAAAAGAGGTACGTAAAGGTATCCGTTGAGCTTTTTTTTCAATTAGAAAGGGTAAAAAAATCTGAATTTAAGTCAAATATTGATTCACTATTGATGATTTCTCTTCGTGTTCGGTCAGAGTGCTACTACTGAAGTGCTGCTACCGGCTGGAAGGCCTTTGCTCACGCCTGCGGCGCAGTCTGCGTCTCTTTCGGCAAAGTGTTCTCTGTTCATTCTCTGGCCTTAATTAGGTCACAAAACCCCGCCCTCCAGCTGCCAATCCAGTTGAAACAAAGAGTACTTTAGATATGCTTCATTGCAAGGCTTATTCTCCAATGTAACAGACAATTAGAAATTGGAAGCCTATGTTGATGTGACAGTTATGCAGTGTGAGAATGTTGTTAAGGATTTGATAGCCCATTTTAGATTGAGAATAGTACATCGGGAAACAATTTTTGGGGAACAGAACTATAAACTGCCCATGGGAGTTTTAGCTTTTTATTCCATTGCCTCGTAATTGTCCATTTCTCTTGTTCTTGAAATTAGGTCCGTGGACTAAATTTTCCATCCCATTTCAATAGGCAGAGAGTTCAATAATGCAGAGCAGCCGGCAGAGAGAGTTTGTTCGGTTGCGCTCGCAACTAATTCCACTTCTTTTTCTTTTGCAGCTCACTCGTCTTGGTCGAGCGTTGCAGTAGATGATGGCCCTGGTGCTGGTGGTGGCGGTGGCGGCTCTCGCTAGGAATGATGTCTCCGCCTTCGTCGATCATCTCCCTCTTCCTCTTCGCTCTCGAGTTTAGGGCCCCTCCTCCACCCATCCTCGTCGTCCTCTTCTTTTGCACAAAAGCACTCCACGAAAGCTCTATAGCACTTATTTTCCGAGTATATGTACGATGTTTTTCACTCGTTATTATGAATTTTTTGTTCTGTGATAGATTAATTGGTCTTATATACGACTGAACTCTTGTTTTCATTTTTTGTGTATCTAATAATGCTCGAATGTTTTTGTAGAGTCATTTTTTATGTGTATAGTGCATATTTATTGGCGGGAATATATCGAGAGATTACATATGTCTGATTTTTGACAGAAGTACATAGAATCTCAAATTCTGCTTTTCGGAGCAGTTTCCCAGATTTTTGACTTTGAGTTTTTTGTGACTCTTTTCAAACGCTGACTAATTAAGCTTCTTACATACACGAAATGCTAGTAACTTCCTGCATTACTAAAACATAAAATCGACCTGTGCGTGGCAAGGTCAGACAGTTGGGAAATAGCGCAGGTGGCATGGAGAGTACGCGCACTGTTTGCGCGGAAAAGTTATCGAACGAGAGTGGCCCTAATGCCAAAAAGTGGTGTTGAATGCAATTTAGGGGTTTTTTTTTTATAATTTTTGGATGCTGAAAAATTATGAGCCGCTTCCGCAGATTAGTGGCCATTTTACACATATTGTTACATACCATGTTAAGGAACAGTAGTCTGCTTGTGGGACGGGGGGGGGGGGGAGGTAATACGAGGTATTTATTTATTACTATATCCATTCACCACATCCACACGAATTTTTTTTGAGCGAGAGCAGCGGAAGAAAACTTAAGCAACTTGAGGCTCCGCCCCCACCTGTGCTACATTACTGTATCTTGTTAGGACCAGCATGCAGCCGAAAAGAATGGAGGCGAAGCGTCCTTTATTGGGCGAAAAAAAATGAGGAACTGTTGGTTCCGTGCCAAACCTCAGTTTTAGATTGCTACGGGAAATATTTCGCTTGATTTACGTTTGTTTAAGATATTGGTCTTGATATTTTTCTTCAGTGTATTGGACCCAAGCCAGAAAACAAAATGTGAAATTTGATAAGTCATGCAGTGCTTTATGACGTAAGATTCTATTACAAATAGCTCTTGCGTGAAGAAAGGTGATCTTCTTGATGGCAGCCGCGGGCGTGGAAGTTCTCCATGTTTTCAGCGTTTTCACGTTATTCGATATCCTTCTAGCGCTGGTAGGAGACCAAATATCGCTCTTGCCGATTTATGCTTCTGGTCGTTATAGCAATAAAATGATGAGTTATAGCCATTCATTCGCTATGAATGAGGTGCACTACTCTCTACTTCCAAAGCTCCTTCTACGAAAAAATTTGGCTTCAAAAGCCTTTACTTCTACCTTGACAGTATAAATTCAATTCCTTGATTTTTCTGTTAAGGAGGGAGGGAGGGGGGGGGGGGGGGAGGAGCTGCAGAACTTAAAAGGGACCCAACAAAAATTTCTGGTACTGTTTGCTCATCTATCTATAGGGAGCATGAAAAAAATTTTGTTCGCATTTTTGCATACAAACGTCCATAAATTCTAACAATATTCGATTCCGATATGCACTCATCCGGTTGCGCGACGCCGACTCCTCGCATGGTCCTTCAGCTCCCTAGATGCATACGCGTTGCAAGAGCTCGCGTGGCGCTACGAAATCAGCTAAATTAGAATTGTGTAAGCGAAGAGGAAAAGCAATCAGGCACTTTTTTCTAATTTTTCGTTTGTGCGCAAGAATTGCAAAAACCCAATTAAGCAATGAGTAAACCGAAATAATGCGAAATTAGAATATGGAGAATTTCTGGGAATCGCATTTATCGCTTTTAGTATATTAATCATTCGTCGATCGTGCATTCAGTGTAATTGCACCCCAATTCAAGTTTTGTGGCGCTTATAAATAGTTTGGGGTAGAGGACTTACGCACACAAGTAAGCGGTCCGGCCCGCGCTGATATCTGCCACTAGTCCTGCATCTCAACATCTATTATTTTGTACTAGTTGTCACAGGCTGGAACTCGTACCGGTTGCACGCACAGGTTGAGCTCATTGGCGGCAGAGCTTCCTCTAATCCAAAAGATTTTAAACGTATAGTTTTTCAATCAGAATTCGAGCTCAATGTCATCTCGCACGCGCTTTGTTCAAAATTAGCCGACAGGTTTTGAAAAGTTGCAATATTTTTGAGAGAAATTTGGACACAGTCAATAATTTGAAACTTTTCCGGACCGGTTTTTTAACATTTTTTCCTTTTTCTTTTCCATCCAATTCTCCTAGACCACCGATGGAGAATTCCATCAACCGTTCTGTTTACTCTATAAAGGATAGAGCAGACACACGGCCTTAATTGTGTTATTTCTTCCAGTAACAAATAAATTGCATGTTTTTTGTTTTGATTTATTTGCTTGCAAATGAAATTCTATTGAATGCGCTATAGCTGTTTGTTGAAGGAATTCTCTAGGGGGAGAATTTAAAGACATCCTCTCTTAGTGATAGATGTACTTGAAAGCAACTTGTTATTTTCGAATGCATGCAGACATGAACAGAGCAGAAATTTATGGTTTGTCTTCAAAGTAGCTCTGTGCTGATGCGGAATTGTGACATCATAAAGTATTTTGTTGGGATGGGAGTTTCACATAACAGTGTTAGTTATTTATCAGATCTTACGCAAGTGGAACGAGAATTATCAATTTATGTGAGACGTTGAACAACCTTGTGTCATTTGTAACTCATTATATAATTCTGCACACAATGTGCGGCAATCGACGACACTTTTACTAGTAACTCCTCTGCAAAACCTTCTCTAACGTTCAAGCTTTAGAAATTGTGTTGAATAGTTAATACGTATCCAATCAATTCAGAAAGGAAACAGAACGAAAAAAAAAACTCGAAAATAAGCAGGTTTTAAACTAAGACGTCGTCAAATTGCGCGCATGGTGTGCAATACGCATATTACGTTGAAAACGATTCGATGGTCACATGTATTCATTTATTCACCACACCATCCCAAAATCCATGATGGGACAAAATTTTTTAAAGCTGATTTGAGGATTGGGAGTTTTCTTCGCCATGGAAAGTGTAGAAGAAACCATGCTTGTGATAAGTGTATTCCGAAATTTCTTCCGACTTGTTTTGACATGAATAAGAGAGGAAAAGGCTGTAGCTTAGCTGATCCAGTAAATAGCATTCATTGCAAATTTAGTGTATAAATGTATAAAATCCCATATATTTTTTGTAAAGGTCAATTTTGTGATATTTGTTTTCTTTTGTCAACTCTAATTTGCCTATAGTTAAAGCTTATCGGGCAGATCTGCAATGCACAATTCTCGGAAATTTAAATTTTAAGCCCCGAAATATTGGTTGCAAATCTACAATTTCCAATTTTTCGCATGCTTTCCAAAACGCACTTTGGAGAAGTATAAAAATATCAAAAATCATTTTTCCCGAGTTTTCTGAGTAACCTCAAAAATGAATGCGTATGACACATGCGCTCAATTAGCCAACCGCAACTAAGGGAACTGATCCGGAGAACCAAGCGATGATTGGCTGATTGGCGTCAATGCCACGCCCCTTGTATCCTCACGCTCACAAACAAACTCTATAGGGTCAACGGCATTTTACTCCAATCGCAGATTTTAACTTAACATAGTTCGAAATTTCAAGAATTTTGGAGAAGACAAGATTTGTCAAAAAAAACCTTCTAAATTATCAAAACAGCAAAAATAACACTTAAAAAACCAAGATTCAGTTCAACTGGAAGTTCCAAAATTTTAAAGAAGACGAAATCTGCCAAAAAAATCTCTAAATCTCTCCAAAATCTGAAGTTAGAATCATACTCAAAGAAAATTCGACATCCATAAAGTATCTGATTTCTAGGTTGTAAAGAATTGAACTAGAAAAGCTGATATGTTCAAGGGTTGCAAAAATTTCAAAATGAGGTTAAAATATCATAATTTTTAACCCACTCTTCTTATATGTCTTTTGTACCAGCATTTTGAGCACGTTTTAGGATTCCCCAGAACACTTTATCTAGTTTTTGGGTCAAAGTACAACTTGAGAACATCTCCAAAAGAAGTTATATAACCATATCTATTTCATCAAAATATAGAAGAGTATATATGTCTAGACTCAGAGCTTATACATTTTCACTATAATTTAAGTTTCTATGGGGCCAATTTGAATTCGTTTTGACTCGTGCGAACTTTTTCTTCGCTCACGTAAACGAAGTAACGATTTCACTAGCTTTCAAAAGAAATTGCTTTCATTTGATGAACATTCATCAGAAATTTAAAGGAAAAGTCATTTGAAGCATTTTGTACATATCTAGATATTGTTATTTCTGACGAAAATATTTTTTCTCTATTACTAAATATAATATAATAAAAAATATCTCATAAACTCCAAAAGTGCTTTAAATCTTCCGTATATTCGTCAAATAATTGTTTATGCAGGTGATTCAGGTATGATCTTCAATATGTAGTATATGTGTGTTCTTTTTTGATCTTATATTAAAAAATGTTTGTAATTTCTCGAAAACAATGTAAATTTTTCATTATATGCTAGTCACATTGTAGAGTCCTTCAGAGCGCATCATCCAATTTTCCGAGAAAAATTCGTCAAAGTCGCTCAAGCTTGTAATTCGATGGATTTTCCTTATCTGGAAGTGAATACAAAAAAGTCAATGCAATAACGTTGGGAGAATCCACCATGCACTTTCCTGGAATAAAACTCCATCAAGCTTTCGAAAAGATGTTACTGATGAAAACAAAGCAGCTGCTTTTCTGGGAATTTTGGGAGTCTCGGAGTAGGGGGGGGGGAGGCTAAGCAATCTTCTGGCAAAAAATAGTGAGCAATATATTAGGCTGAACCAAAAATTCTGTCGCACCATTTGCAAAAAATCTTAACTTCTTCGTGTCAGAATAGTTTTGCATAAAATGGACCAGAAAGAATAACTCATGTGTTTTCTAAAGACACCTTGCTTGCTTTCTTTTATGCTCTGGTCGCAGAAATAAAAATCAGGAAAGAAATAATTTTGGGTTTGGAATTTTGAGGCAAGCTCATTAAAAGTTCCAAAACTGCGCCATAAAATCCAAAACAGCCAGTATCCTAGGTTTTTTACCCCTTTTCCTAGGTGAGCAAAATTGGTGCTGATCGAGCTGTTCTTTGAAAAGTTATGATTTTTGAGAAAAAATGGCAAAAAATCAATTTTCTCAGAAATCGATTTTTGGCAATTTTTCTCGAAAATCTTAACTTTTCAAAGAAGGGCTCAATCA